CCGGGCTCGGCACCAGCATGACCGGCGGTTCCTTGGCCGCCTCGCTGGCAGCGTGTCCGTGCCCCGGTCCGGCTGTGAGGAGCACACGGGGATGTGTTGGTGACATTCGGAGGGCAGAAATGGGACCCTGGGAGCAGAGTCCATGTGCGGGGCCGTTGCAGTGGCTGTGCCAGGGTTGTGGGCAGCTCCCAGCCCGTTAGCCCAACACCCGGCTCTGTTCCAGCCTGTCCGCAGTGCCCTGCCCGGGGCCGGGTGGCCACAGCCCCGCGGTGCGGCTCGCAGAGTGCCACGAGATGGCACTGCGACAGTGCCACCAGCCTGCGGGGATGTCCCTTGTGCAGTGACACCGGGGGGCACAGGGATCTGTATAGAGGGATTTTCACCCATCATGCCAACCAGAAATGTTAATTCTGATGGTGGCAGTTTGTGTAGACCTGCCAGGGGAAATCTTTCTGACTGGGCAGGATGAGTKCGGTCATGTTTGTGTTAGTGTTGGGTTTTGGGGAAGGGGGTGAACCCTCTCTGGGGAGATCRCTGATGTGGGGCCAGGTGGTGCCAGCAGGTTCACCTGGCATGGGCCAGCTGCTGTCCGTCCCGTTTTTTCTCTCATTGTTCTGTTTCTTATGCTGTCCCATGGCAGCCAGGCACAGGCTGTGGTCAGTGCCCCACGGTTCCTCTCTCTGCTTTGTCCCACAGTACGACTACAGCTTCCGGACRGAGCAGAGCGCGGCCGCCCGCCTGCCGCCCAGCCCCACCCGGTGCCCCCCGGTGCCGCCGTCCTGAGGGGCTGCCAGCGCCGGAGCAGTGTGTGCGTGCGTACTACTGAGCAGGAACCAGGACACGGGACAGCGCTGGAGCCATCCCAGCACACAGACCCCATGTCGGGCCACCGCCACCACCCTGCACTGCACCACCCCCTGCACACGCCGCTCCACGTGTTGGCACCTTCGGCAGCTGCCCCTACCCCCGCCCCGCTCCCGCTGCTGCAGACCCCTCTCCATGTGAGTACAGCACTGGGAGCCTGATGAAGCCCCTTGTCGTCCCCTCTTTGTGCTGCAGCACAGTCACAGGACCCAGAGCTGTAGCGAACCGCTGTGAACCCATGCGGGAGCCTGCGGAGCATCCAGAAATCTCAGCCCTGRCAGGAACAGTGAAAGGCATGGCTGGCACTGCCACGTGAGCTGCCATGGAGCTGGGTGGTTCTCAGCACCTCACAGCAGGAAGCTTCTGCGGCACTCAGTCCAGCACAGAACTGAGCTGCAGTGAGTGCCAATCCCTCTGCCAAGGTCTGGGCACAGAAGTTCTGCTGTGATTGGGATCAGTCCCAGGTCCACTGTGGTCAGTGGGTTTGCTGTAGGGCCCCTGGCTCACTGGACACTGGCAGGGCAGGCAGAGCACCCAAGGTGCACTGCAGGTYCTGAGATGAAGCACCTCTGCTTTGCACAAGATGTCCATCTGCCCATATGGATCTAGAGACAAGTATCCTGTTTTTYTTTCTGGATGGATGCTGGCAGTGGCACCCTGGCAGCACCCTCTGACCCYGGCCACGCTGCCTGTGGAGGTGGGTACCTGCTGACAGCTGGGATGCCATCACCTGCCATCACTGAGACAGCTCTCGAGCATGTTCCCTGCTAGCTGCTAAAACAAAAGAGATGTGCCTGTTTCCTGGGCACTCATTGGGAAGCACTGAACACTGACGTGGCACAGGGTGAGAGTGGGATGCATTAAACCCTGACCTCTGCCTCCCTGTGATCGCTGACTGGGCTTGCTCCCGAGCCAAACGCATGTSTTGGAGAAGTCTGTTACTGTAATAAGTTATTTACAAGTGCCCATCTGATCCTGTGCTGCTCTTTCAAGTCTCTGCTGTASAACAAAGATACATCATGGCAGCAAAATGGCAATTCTTGAGTGTTTAAAYGTACAACTTTTTATATTGTAATATACTGATTCCCTGACCCCATTGAAATGCAATTGCCATGGTAACAGTAATGGTGTTGTCACTCTCAGCCTGGGTCGTACATGTGCCCTGACCCACTTTGCACTGCCTTGGATTGATCTGGCATTTGCTACTTGCACAGAATGGTGACTAACAGCAGGTTTTGTACTGTTGGCTAATACTTTTTATTTGTACATAAGTAAAATAATTCCTGCCCAAAGATTAATTTCTGGTTTTAAGGCACCACACTGTACTGCTGGGATAAAGAGCACAAAATACCATTGGGACAAATTGAGTCCAGATCTTTGCTTCAGCTTCTTCCAATCAGGTAAATAATTTTCTGGAGCTGCCTCTGTAGAGTGGCCATATGGTTGGAGAGCAGAGGCCAATTTGGTCGCATGTGTGTTGTTTTTGGGCAAGTGCACCAGCGCTGGAGCCTTGGGAGACCCCCTGGAAGTGCTCGTTTACTCGCAGGTTGCACCACCATTTTTAGTTGTTATTTATCCTGCAGTAAAGAAAAGCCAGACCTCACTGCCAGGCTTCACAAAGGCCAGATTGATGATGCCGACATCGACAAATGAACATACCATGGCAGCTTGGTCATTTGGCTCAGGTTCACTTCAAGTTCAAATCCACTCTATGCCGTAGTGCTGTGCCCATCTCATCCATCTTTTGTCTTTCTATTTTTCTGCTTGTAATTTGTTCTGTAGTTTTCTGTGACATCCATTTATAGCTTCTCCTGTGGCTCAGTGGTCACGGCAGGTAGGCAGGAGCCATCGGCAGCAGTGCATTCGTGGCTTTGGGATAAGAGCTGACCTTCCCTGTTCATGGTGGAGAAACGAAGCTGCCGACTATCACAGGGCAGCCAGCACAATCTGCAGAGCTCCAGGGGCAGTGCTTGCCTCTGAGAGATGGAGAGACAACTGCCAGGAGCCCCTGCTGGAGCTTCCCCTTCCTTCCTGAGGGCAGCATTGACTGCACAGCGGGCAGGGGGCTCAGCAACGAGCGGGGTCTGAGAGCCACACTCAGTGCCACACTCAGTGCCACACTCCCTGGCTGTGTCTGGGACAATGAGTGCAGAGCTTTGGGTTCCTTGTGTAAGAGAAGATCTGTGCTTTCATATTCATACCAGCTACGAGATTTGCTCAGCCTTCTTGGAGATGAGGAGCTCAGCTTGCACTGCAGTGACCTACAGGAAACACTGGATACTTGAAACACTGGCAGGACACGTGGCTGGGACAGGCATCTACAGCTTCGGACGCATTTGTAGAGTTACTTCTCCCTCTCTAACACTGGGCCAGCAAAGCTGCTTTGGGGCTCACCTGCAGAGAGCCTTGAGAAATGAGTTTGCTCTCTGTAGTGCAGTCCTGCACCACTGCACTGCAGGAACAGTCTGTTCCAAAAGCACAGTCAGGGCAGATGTGATTCCTGTGGGGCAAACCCAATCAAGGTKTTTTGAACAAAAAGCTGCAGCTGCTGAGAGCCAGCTGAACTCTCAGCCCTGGTAACTGCAGGCTGGAAAACTGGGAATTCCAAAAGAGAGAGGGCTTGGAGCCAGTGCTTGGAAGCACAGCAAGACACCACAGTGCAGGGTGGTTGAGTGTGTCAACTTCTCAGTCCACTGATCAGAAGGAAGCTTTTGTTATTGCACAGGTGAATTCCTGAGATGTGGGGTGTCAGGTCAGCATTTCCACGGGAARGTTTTATTGGCTGCTCCATAACTTTTGTACTCACGGCAGCTCATTGCAGGGCTGGTCCTTGCATCCTTACAGTGCTGGCATGTGCCATGGCCAGTACCAGCATCCCTCTGCATCTTCCTCCCTGTCTGAAAGGTAACTGTGGAAGAATTTATTGCCCAGGCAATGAATGTTCAGGGAGTCTGATGCAGGTTTGTCTGGCTGCGGAGAAGTCCTCTGGAGCATAAGTGGAGGGGTTGAGTCAGTGGAAAGCAACAGAAGTGAACTTGCAGAGCTTTACCAGATGTTCTTGGCTACCTTGCCTAAATTTGTAGAACAAAACTGGTCTCTAGATAGTTTAATCTTGTGACTGATGGAGAGGTTARTTTGCCAAATTACTATATATCTGCAACAGAGACAGGAAAGTAGCAGTGAGGGGGTTGCTTACTGTAAAATACACCTTCTGATGTGAATTCATAGTGACACGCTGCCTCCTGGATTCCTCACAGCAAGAAGCTGSTCATGTGCTGAGGTGATTCGTGGCCACCCAGGCCAGGCTGTGCTCTCTGCTGTGTTAATCATGGAATGGCAAGAAGTTAGTCCAGAAAGTGATGTAGAGTGTGAACTTTGTGATAAAATTCAAGTGTGAATAGTTGTAGCAGGTGTCTTCCCTTATGGGAGCACCTTGTATTTGTAGTTCCATAGGAGTAAAGTGTGTCAGACTTTTCCTGTGACTGTCCCTGCGTGTCCCCACGGTGTTTGTTAGAGGATCCCCGGAGCCTCCTGTGCAGTGAGAGGTTGTTGATAATCTGTAGCATTGGGCTTGTTTGGTTTCACACCCACCACTGCCCCCTCAGTGTCCTGAGCTCTCCAGACTGAACCCATGCTGGACATGCTGCTGGAGCCTGGAGCATTCCAGTTGTGGGCACTACACATGCCAGGTAGGTGCCAGKGGCAAGGGCATCATCTACAGGCCTTGGCACCTGCTCTTGTGTGGGTGCTGAAATCTCCTGGGAGGAGGGAAAACAGGATGGATSTGGCCAGTTCCATGTTGGCCCTCACCTCCCGCCTCTCCCCAGGTGACTTTGGGTCTGTGTCCCCAAATGTGCCCACAGTCACTGTCCCATGGCAGCCCCAGGAGCCTGGAGAGCTGTTCCTGCTCCTGCCCAAGGACAGGCACGTTGTGCTACACCCAAACAATTACCTCAGCCTTGGAGCCTTGACCAACAGCCGGCAATCCCTCCAGCAGCAATGCCCCACAGCGGGGCAGAGGAGTGCTGCTGTCAGCCATCCTGAGCCTTATCACCCGGGCCGTGGGACTGGAGAGAGGAGAGAGGAGAGAGAGACTGCTCCTCTGCTCCCAAACGAGCTCAGTCAGTGCTGCTGTCAGCCATCCTGAGCCTTACTGCCTGGGCTGTGGGATGGAGAGAGGAGAGAGGAGAGAGAGACTGCTCCTCTGTCACCAGCGAGCTCAGTCAGTGCTGCTGTCAGCCATCCTGAGCCTTACYGCCCGGGCTGTGGGATGGAGAGAGGAGAGAGGAGAGAGAGACTGCTCCTCTGCTCCCAAACGAGCTCAGTCAGTGCTGCTGGGCTCATCCACCACACAGAAACCAAACACTTGGCATCTTCTGGCTGGTTGGTTGGTGTGAAATTGGTTCCCAACAGCAACAGATTTAAATACCATCGTACAAATGGCAGAGAGAAGCCTTTTATGCAGTTGCAAAGTGGTTTTCTAAGATGGTTGGGTTACTGAAGGTGATTTTACTGTGCATTAATCTTATGAATGTTACTATGTTTTATATTTATTTTAGATGACCCTCCTGTATTTTACAAAGGGAAGTTTCATTGTGTGATAACTCAGTCTGTATTCTTAATATAATTTGTTAAATGAAACTTGTTTTAATCAGATAATTCTGTGTGCTTTTGTGTTTTAATTTTCTGACTGGAACAAATACCTGAATTGGAAGGGTGAACTGCAGAGGTGGCAGCATGATCCACTGTAGGGAACATGCTATTGTTTGTGGAGGTTTTTTCTTGGAAAYTGGATATAAAAAGCCTGGGAAAATGTGTCCAAATGTCTTGCTCCACAGGTATGCTGCAACGTCAAAACAARCTCAAATGAGGTGTTTTATGGGGCAGGATTGGGCAAAGGCTGGCCAAAGCAGAGCTGAGTGAGTGCACACTGCCTTGGCTCAGCTTTGTGCTGCAGTGACCACTCAGCAGCGTTGGGCAGGCAGGGCCCTGCATGGCACCGGCAGCAAACCCCGAGGGGAATGGGCTGCCAGGCCAGGGAGAGGCCAGCACCACACCACGGCACTGAAAATTGTTATTCTTTCTGCTAAATTATCCATCTGAACTTGACCCAAGCTAGTGGTGCAAAATCTGACCTCTGGCATCTTCTCACCCCAGCCAGTATTTCTGTCTYGCTTATTTTGAGTGCTCTTTGAATTAAGGGAGATTAATACCCAAGTTCCCGGCATTCTCTTCAGGCACATGTTTTTATAACCTTTTGAAAGCAATACCACTTGTTCCACAATAAGAAGCAGCATCTCGGAGCTGCCGTGGGAGCTGTCACCGGCACCTGATGGAATGTCCTGCCCGGGGAGGAGGCGGTGTGGGGAGGACAAAAAGCAGAGTGGCCCATCCATGCCAGCCACGGCTCCCCGGCAGCAGCGGGCACAGAGCTGTGCTGGCAGGGTCTGTGAGCTCCTCTGCCACCCCTGCCCACCTGGCACTGCCCCTGGATGTGGGCACAGCCCTGGGCTCTGTGGGGCTGCAGGCTCAGCAGGGCCTGCAATGGGGCTGGGGGAACCTCACCCCAGCGCTGGGGGGACTGGACATGGCCCATGTCCATCATTCGTGGAATTTGGTTTCTAAGGAAAATGTCTAATTTCTTCCATTCTATTAGTGTTTTTAGGTTTGGGAGCAGCTGTTTGTCTCTGTGAGGTGTCTCTGGCTCTGCCTGCCCTAAGTAAATCCCCCCAGTGCCTGAGGGAGCAGCAGACACACGGATCCCTGTGTCCTCAGAGAGCTGCTTTGGGCTTTGTGTGCCTGGGGCTTTGGTGGTGTTTTCTTTTCTTTTCTCCTCTGCCTCCTACAGCTTTAAAAATTAACTTGCCTGGGGAGTTTCTCAAAATCCTTTCCTTTCTCTGGAATGATGGATAAGCCATGTAACTGATTGTCATGGCCCTAGAGAGGATAAACATCTTCTGCAGTTTAAAATAAAACCTCCTCGCTCCCTGGTTAATAAGTGTTGAAAGAAGCACAAACAGAGCTAACACGGGATTTCCATGACTAACAAGATGACCACATCAGTGAATGTTGTTTGGGGTTAAAAATGACTCAGCTTTTGCTTCCCCTGGGTAAGATGTTTTATCCCAGTGCAGGAAAAGCTGCCAGCAGCACTTTGAAGCTCTGGCAAACTGGAGGCAGCCAGGATTGTGAACTGGGAAGTGTTTGAATGCCGGGTTAAAAAAGCCCTCATAAACTCCACTCCATGTGTGCGGATTTCTGGAAGATAAAGGAGCCCACAGCTTCATCCAGCTTATGCTGACTCTTTTCTTTTCAAAAGCCTTTTCAGATGTTTTCACTTTTCTGCTTGCTTTGTTGAAAGATGTAAAAATTTAAGACAACCACAAAGTAAACATTTCAAAACTTTCTATTTTGAAAATTAGTGACATTTTCAAAATCCCTCAACTTCCATTTCAGCACTATCAGAAATGAAGATGTTTGGGGGTTTTTTGATCGGCTGATTTTCCAGGCAGGTTTTTGTTTATTGATAACTTTTCTTTTTCAAAGAAAATAGATTTATTATTCAGTAGAAACACTAGATAAGTAGATGTCTTGTCAAAATCAAGCAGGTTTTCTTTATTAGAGTGAAATAGTAATGAACTCATCTGCTTCCAATATTTATAAAGAGTAGGGAAGGCCATTAATTCTGCTGCTTGTGAATAAAACCATCTGTGATTTCTTTCCATTTGATGTGTTTTGGTTTTAATAAACATTTTTCACAAATAAGTGTAGGGATTTTTTGTGAAAATGTCACATTCRGAATCTCATAAAGAAGGAACGCAAGGAGGGGGAAACAAAATGTTTTGTTAGCTCAGTAATTTCTCACCTTGCACAGAGAGTAAAATTCCTGCCAACTTTAACACATTAGGCGACAGAATTACATGTTCGGCTCTAATGCAATCCATGACATGGAACAAGGCAAACAGAGGATGTTTGGAAGTTTGTTTTCCTTTGGGAATCACACAGCACATTTAACTTAATCTGTCCTGACACTTGAATTATAACGTGAGCTTCTTTAGGGAAGCAAAACGGTAGATGGCTCTTTTTAAAGCAAAGCAGAAGTTAATAAAATGGGCAGCATGTCGAGGAGAAAAAGCCCGAATGAGCCATCGTGCAATTCTCAGAGGAAACGGGCTCTAGGCTGGGGTTTTTCCACCAGAAATGCTGGAAATCTTGTGACATACTTCTACTGAGAGTGAAATTTGAGCTGTAGAATTTTACTCGATTAAAGCACAAGCTGCAAGAATGCCCCAAGTGAGACCACTTTGTAGTTGGACTTGGGAGTGTTGGATTCTAAATTAAACTGAATATTCATCCAGCTGCTGTGCCAGGGTTTATGTCACAGTGCTCCCACTGACTCGGGCGATGGAGCCGTGCTCTGCTGCACCTTCCTGAGCTGTATCTGCAGAGGAGAAGGAAATCCTGCAGCTCCAGCCCTGCAGCCCAAGCACCCACAGCGTCTCTCGGGGGCTGGAATGGGAAGGGGCTGTAAATGCGATCTGCTCCACTGATTGTCGCTTGAAAAGGTTGGCTCCAGTTACAGATTTAAGGCCCAAATTTAATGTCCATTGTCCAACAGGATCAAAGGAGATCCTTGGAGGTTCCTCTGAGTGAAGAAGCCTGAAATCACAGAGCAGATGTCTTCACCCCAAGCCCAGAAGTGCAGTTGCTGCAGAGCAGGGCAGGCACTGTCCTGGGGAGGGAAAACAAATGTCAGACATGGGCAAACAACAGCCCATGGTGGCTGTTCCCTGGTGGGTGTCCCATAGGAGCGTGACAGAGGATAGTTGGGGTGGAAATCAAAGCAGAGGGCATGGGGTGAGCAGAGGGAGGAGAGGGGGAGAGGTGGAGTGCCCAGGACAGCCCTGTGCCAGAGATGGTGGAGGTGGTCACCATTCTGTAGTGACAAACAATTGCCTACTGCTCAGGGAAAAACCTGTCCATGGATTGGGCCAAGGGCTGGCAAAACTCGAGGAGTACAAACCTGGGGACATGAGGAGCAGTTTCAGGAGCTCTGGAGGCCACAGAGGTGGCTTCCTGCCACTGACTGCTCTTTGAATTRCACAAAGACTTTCTGCTTTTCCCACTGGCACGTAACCGTGTTCCCACAGTCCCCAGCAATGACCTGTCATGGGTGGMAGAAGCCCAGTCAAAGGACTCAAAGCCCTTAATGCAAGCTTTTTCCCTGTTCTAACTCTAAATTCTTTTTTTCTGTCCAAATTCCTACTTATATGAGCCTTTTAGGAACTTAATTATCCTTGAGACTTCTACCTCTCTGTAAAATCTGGTTYAAATCAGTAAAGAAAAGAGTTCAAAGTTATTGAGCAGGACAGGCAGACAGACAAGCACACAGGGATCACAGGAACCTTGTTTTCATAGGAAACTAGATTAAAAAAATCCCACAGCAGTTAGCAGCCCCTTTGGTGGCACGGCTGCCCCGGTGCCGGGCGAGGGTTTGGGGTGGGGGCAGTCTGGGTTTGTACCTTTGGAAAGGGCTTTGTACCCTTTGTTTGTACCTTTGGAAAGGGCTTTGTACCTTTTGTTTGTACCCTTTGTTTATACCCTTTGGAAAGGGCTTTGTACCCTTTGTTTGTACCCTTTGGAAAGGGCTTTGTACCCTTTGTTTGTACCCTTTGTTTGTACCCTTTGTTTGTACCCTTTATTTGTACCCTCTGGAAAGGGGGTGCTGGCACATCTGCCCCTTCAGCTGGCATTTGTGGGGCACTGGAGTGGCAGCAGTGACTCTGCAGCCTGTCTGCTTTGCTCAGCTGGATGCAGATTCATCACATCCCTGCTCGCTTTGGCATGCAAACCTGYACCTAATTTCTTCTGAAACGGGCCCTGAGGAAGTCAGCAGATGTTATTATTAAAGCATTGAGCATCAGCAGCTCCCAAGATATTGTCAGTCCGTTAATGAGCTGATCAAACTGGGGAAGGCAAGGGCTTTCCCAACTTCTTAATAAGGAAAATAAGACCTCCAAGGTTAAAAGACTTCTTTTAAACTGCACCAAGTTTATAGGTTGCAAAATGTTCTTTAATYAGTTTATTCTTAGAAGGCCCTAACTGCCCGTGAACATTATCTTAAATGATCCCACAAGAACAGAGCAGCTCTGCCTTGGTGGGGTTTGCTGGCATTTTGCACCCAGAGTCTCCTTAAGGAGCCTTTTCCATGTACCTTCTATAATTCTTTTGTGAATATTTTGTGCATCATTACTCACAGCTCTGCCCCGAGACTTCTGATGATTTGTGAATTATTAGGTTTTGCTGTTTGRAAGTTAAACTGATTTTCCTATCGATGTATTTCTATTTGCAGTTTTGCAAATCTTCAATGTCAGCAGTTTCCCAAGGCTGCAGAGACACAAGTTGTACAAGTGAGCCAGAAAATCCTGAATTGGGCATCTCCCTGCACCTCTGCCTGTCCTGGGGCCCCTCTCAATTCTGCTCTCCTAAAAGCAGTGGCACCGACTTTGTTGGGTTTTCTCTTAATGCCATACTGTCTTCTTGGGGTTTTCCACCTGAAGGGATGTTTAGAATCTGGACAACAGTGATCATGATATTAGAGAAATTGGCAACAGCTAAAAATGTAGAAAGAAAATATCTATTATTCCTACAGGAGCAGAGGAGCGAGCACCCTCTCATTATCCTGGGTCATTTCTAATGTCCTCAAATGATAATGTGGAACAGAGAAATAATAAGCCTGAAAATCTTAGTGGGAAACAACTCCCACGGTTCAGACAATGGTCTAGAACGGGGTCTGCGGGAGGAGGATAAAGGCACTGGCACCCATCGTGCCTGGGGTTTTGCTGAGCCCAGCTTAGCAGATAGACTGGCCAGGGGCACCATGAGCAGGTCCCAGTGATGA